CCCCTCCCACCCACACCCCCTTAACTGACCAGTATTTTTGTAAACACCTGTTACATAATATGCTATGTAGCTCTTTTTTTATCCTTAATAAATACTAATTAAAATATCCCGGCGGGTAGTTTCTACAGATTTAGAAAGTTTACATTTGGGACTATATCGCATTTAATAGCAAATCCGTCATTAATTGCTTCTAATTGCGAGATTGTGTTTATTGATCGCATGTCTTGAGAACTTTTTTATTGCAACAACAAAAAAGTGTTCCCTATGAAATTAATATTTAGTATTTAGTAACAAGTTTTACCACGAAAAAGTATCATTGTTAAGATGTGACGTGGGCCAAATGTGTGTCAGAAGCGGGAACTGCTTTGAACAATTCCATTTTCCGCGAGAAGGAGATTGTAGTATTTTATATAAATTTATTTTGAAAAGTTGTTTAATTGTTGTGGAAAAATATGATAAAGTAAAGACAGATTGATACAAACTGCTATGCAAAGCGTGGGTGACATTGATTGATCCGTAAAAAAAGAAAAAAAGATATGAGCCCAGGTCAAAAGGTGACCTTGATTTAGTGGCATACTTTAAATAGTCACTACTTTTTTTATATTGCATTTTCTGGCAAAGCATAGATGTATTAGCTCGAGAAATGGACAAAGAGATAGTCAGAGATAGCTTGTTGATTATAAACAGGTTTGAAATATTCTGTAACAAAAAGAAGTTTAGGTCGACTGCATATTTCGAGGTGCAATACACTATTTCAGATAGCGCCCTAACTAGAACCATCATAACCTAGACGTGTTTGAGCGTCTGCACATGAAAATTTGCCTAATGGTTATTTAGACACTAAATTAGCTTCCCATAAACTTCAAAATCATCGCAGGGTTATGTGTTTTAAGCAAAGACATTCTGAAATATGGGTGTCCCATGTTTGAAGATTAGTTACGCCACGAATTTTTGCCCGCACTATAGGTGTTGTAAATCTCCCATCGGCACGATCTAGATCATTCAAATGTAGGATTGAGGGGACCGGACTCCGCCTCACGGATTGCCTGTCAGGGTCGACCCACCCGGGCTGAGACTGAGAGGGATACAAACAACATCCCAGCAGAAAGACCGGGACTCTCGATACTATTTTTTTCGTTTTACATCTTTTATTTTATTTTGGTCATTTTCTTTGGGAATGAATCAGTTCAATTATTGTGTGTTTCTTTCCTTTGTTGGCCAGATGATCTACAAGATGGACAGCCCGGAGGAGCTGGATGCCTTCTGGACCAAAGGCTGGGAGAAAATGCTTCAGAAGAGGGCCATAGAGAACCAATCTGGGGGTGGCGGAAAGTCTAAGTAGGGAGTGATGTGTGTGTGTGTGTGTGTGTGTGTGTGTGTGTGTGTGTGTGTGTGTGTGTGCTATAGTGCTGATCATATTTCGTGTGTGCTGAAATGAAAAAGATAAGAGCAGGTGTATTTAAATAATTTAAATAAGCCCTCATAATACACAAGGGTGTTTCTGTGAGGGTACAATGATAGGAGAAAGAGAAGAGAAGCGAATTTATTTCTTATTCTTTTTTTTCTTCTTTTTTTTTTTTTTTTTTTGGAGGGGGTTGGGATAATTTATTTTTGGTCCAGTTCAGGTCGACTGAAAGCACTTTGATACGAGTCCATCTGCAGATAACAAAACACAGAGATCTATGTATGTAGATATATATATATATATAGAGGGGGGGGGGTTGTTGTTGTTTTTCAAATGTGGGGTGGATGAATGAAGAAAGTATAACAAAGTAACAGCATTCAGATAATGAGGAGGAGAACGGAAATAAAAATGAAAGTATCGACGAATACAACGTGAATGATGACGAAGAAGAATAAAAAGAAAGAATGAATGAGTGACTGGGCGTGAGCACGATGTGATTATTTTTTTACCGCATATGTTATGTAGATCTACAGTGAGGTCCAGAATTCGTGGCGCAACTGATTGTCAAATATCTCCTCAACTATCGCACATAAACTCAACAGCTTTTTCAAAATGACTAGTATCAATTTGTCTTAAGG